CAACATACAAAACATAGGGAAACATCATCCTATGCCACACGAAATGCATACACATACGTATAACAAAGCATTAAACTATTTCATTGCATTTATATACACTATCACTACCACTACCCATTCAGGGCTTGGTGGAACAATCAAGGGAATTACACCCAAGGTCCAAAGGCTTACCTCAAAGCTTCAGTCAACCTTTGTTCACCACCAACAGGTTCCACAACTAGTCAACTTTGTATTCAAGCTATAACTTGCAAAGTACACACCTACACCAAGGTGTAATGCAATCAACATATTGCATTCAAGAATATCACATATTCATCAACTAAACTATCCAATTCATACCACAACAAAAGCATGAACTTACCTATTCCAAAGAGCTAATCAAGCTCCATAGCTTGCTCCAACGGTTGGTCACTCAAGGTTGGTCCCAATGCCTCAATCCTAACATAACAAAGGCATAATTAATAACCAACCAAACCAAACTATTGATTACCAATGCAAGAAAGTCCAACATCAAGCATTAAATCTTGCAATTTCCCAAGTATAATCATTTGACTATCTAAGCTCATTTACTCACCTTATCATAAACCCCCAAAGCACTATTCATAAAACCCTAACTCATGCAAAATCAAGAAATTTTGTGTGAAAGAGAGTGGAAGCTTACCACCAATGATCATACAACAATGCAATGAGCGTTCCTCAAGCTTCCAAAGAGCCAAATGCTCTCCAAACCCCCTTCAACCTTCAAAGGGGCAGATTTTTTAGAGAAGAAATCTCACAACACAAAGCTCCCCACTAAGAACCAAGCTAGGATTATGAATGAGGGCGAGATTCTAAGTGGTTTAGGCTTTTGAATCAAGGAAAACGGTTGAGAATCACTCACCCTAGGTTTCTCCTCCCTCTTCTCTTCCCTTTCTCTTCTTCTTCTTCTTCTCTTCTTTCTTCTCTTTCTGGTCGACAGGTTTGTGGGGGGACAAAGAGTCTTTTTTTTTTTAAGTCACTTACATTAGTTAAGTGACTATAGGTGGGTATCAGCTCATCTATCTATTTAACTCCATTAATTATCAAACTTTACCCAAAAGTCTGAAATATTATTCTAGGAATATTTCCACTTTTATTTTTATATTTTGGGTACTTTTTCCTACACCCCTTTATACCCCTTAATTTTCACAAAGTACACTTTTTACCTCCAAAGTGACTCCAATTCATTTAATTAAGTCTTATACTTAATTTTACTCACTATTACATGATTAATTATTCAATCACATTTAATTTATTAATTAATTAGGTTAGGGCTATTATAGTACTGTTCATCCAGAACTGATCTATGGGTTTGTGGACCCTAGTTTGAGGAAATTGAACTTCTGTAATTAATTAATGTAAGTCAGAATCATGTGATTAAGGGCTTATGGCTTGGTGAGAAGCCTTAAGACGTAAAACGTAATGAAAAGGCATTGTCTTTATGTTGTATACTTGTAGAGTATGATTGTTGATGTATTATTAGTCCATAACAGATTGTGAATATGCTGTGTTTGGACTTTGAGCTGTGGACTCTTGGCTTTGGGTGTTAGCTTGCAAGGTAAGCTTTCGTGTCCTCGGTTTAGCCATGTTGTGGTTCCACCATGTCCCATGGGGTATGTTTATATGCATGTTGTGTTACATGCTTTGAATATTTGAAATGTTGTTGAGCTTTATGTGTAATGGCTTTTAATATGCATGTGTTGTTCCATCTTGACGATAAGCCTGAGTATGTGGCGTCATACAAGACAGTGATCCGGGGTGGATGCAAGTGGCATCTTGCACTATGTGAGGGTATTAGACGTATATAAATCCTGCATTTCTCTGGCCAGTAGAATAGTATTGACACACATGACATGATTATCTGCTGTATTGCACTATTTTAGAAATGAGATTGATGAACTGCTTTTAAACTTATATTGCACATGTAAGTGAGCTTGGGGTGGAAGATCCTTGAGGACCCCTTGTCTTACTGAGATTTCTTGTTTAGAGATCTCACCCCACGTTTGGGGAATGCTTCTTTCAGGTTCAGGTAGTATGGTGACTGATTCCTCTGGTGGCAGGAGGTCAGAGCTTAGCTGATTATGATTTTACTGCTTATTTGCTAGCATGACTGGACTGGATGCTATTTATGTTTTCTGCTCTTTATGTTTTGAGTTGAGACTTATGTTGGGCTTTGTTGCCTTATTTGGGTGAGCATGAGAGTTGTCCATGCCACTATGTTGTTAGTACTGTTAGTTGAGTTGTATAAACTGATAGTTGGTCCGGTCTACGTGTTGTAGTTCCGTGACTAGAGCCATACATTAGGTTATTTTATATCATGAGGTATTTCAGTTAGCTGTTTTATTGCAATTGCATACAGGCGATATTTTATTAATTGATTAATAAGCAAGCTGGTAATGATAATGACTTCATAATTGAAAAGAAAAAGATATTTCGCATTTTTAATTAAACGCAGCTTAATACGATAGTATGATAACATTACCGGATATATACGGGGTGTTACATAGACTATCAAGAGATGTTTGCTCCAGTGGCTAAGCTCAATACCATCAGAATATTAATCTCTATAGCAGCAAACCGAGACTGTCCCATGAAACAATTCGATGTGAAGAACGCCTTCTTGAATGGTGATCTAAAAGAGGAAGTTTACATGGAAGTACCACCTGGAGTACAGACAACACCTTCAAAACAGAATATGGTTTGTAAACTGAAAAATGCACTTTATGGTCTTAAACAATCACCAAGAGCATGGTTTGGTAGGCTCTCTTTAGCGATGAAAAAGTTTGGATATCAACAAAGCAACTCAAATCACACATTATTTATTAAGCGTAACAAAGGAAAGGTGGCAATACTTATTGTTTATGTAGATGATATGGTGTTAACTGGGGATGATGTAGAAGAAATGAAATCTCTAGAGAAGAAATTGGCTGCTGAATTTGAGATCAAGGATCTTGGTCCAGTAAGATACTTTCTTATAATAGAAATTTCAAGGTCCAAACAAGGAATTTTCTTATCTCAAAGAAAATATATTTTGGATCTTCTCTCTGAAACTGGATTGTTGGGAAGCAAACCAGCAGATGCTCCGATGGAGATGAATCACTCACTTGGTGTTTATCCAAATGAGATTGACGCAGATAAGGGCAGATATCAAAGGATGGCAGGTAAATTAGTATACTTGTCACATACTAGACCTGATATTGCATATTCTGTAAGCATTGTAAGAAGATTTATGCATTCTCCTAGTGAGGAACATATGAGAGCTGTTTATCGAATCCTAAAATATCTCAAAGGGTCTCCAAGAAAAGGGATGATATTTTCAAAAAATGATAGACCATGCATTGAAGGCTATACAGACTCAGATTGGGATGGTGATAAAACTACAAGGCAATCAACTTCTGGGTACTTTACTTTTGTAGAAGGTAATTTAGTCACATGGAGGAGCAAGAAACAAAAGGTAGTGGCTAGATCAAGTGCTAAAGCCGAATTTAGAGGCATGACTTATGGTGTCTGTGAACTGTTGTGGATTAAAAACATATTAGCTGAATTAAGAATTATATATAGTCAGCCAATGAATCTTTTCTGTGACAACAAAGCTACAATAGAAATAGCTCGCAATCCGGTTCAGCATGACAGAACTAAGCATGTTGAAGTAGACAAGCATTTTATAAAGGAGAAGCTTGACAATCACATAATTGAGATTCCTCATGTGCGGTCTCAAGAACAACTTGCTGATGTGTTGACTAAAGCCCGTTTCTGGAAAAGTTTTTGAAGAAGCTATTAACAAGTTGGGCATGATAGATGTTCATGCACCAACTTGAGGGAGAGTGTTGAAGATAAGATTTAGTTTGTTGAAATATTATTGTAATTAGATAGGATTAATTTATTAGGTTGTTCTAATTTATAGAAGTTGTTAACTATTTTAAGTAGGAATTGTTATTGATACTTGTATATATACCACAATTAAGGAGGAGAAATGCAATGAAGAGATGTATAGTTCTCAGGATTAGAATTTTAACAGATTCTCGGCCATGAGTTTGAAACATCAAAGTGACAAGTGATAAACGATATAAGCACAAGGGTCAAAGTGATGAATTTATTGGTTTCAAATATTAGGATTTTAAGAGTGATACATCATGTAACCATAATCAATATACACGATATACGAAAAGTTATTTTTATTTACTAATGACCTCATATTAAACGTAGACATGATCCAAGTCTCGTTAAGTCACTTCGTAGATATCATAATTCATGAGAAGATATTGCTGTATTTCTAATATGCATATTGGTAATGGATAGTTCTTGTCTCTCGGTTGTGTTGTGTCGTTGGGTTGTTCTTTGTTTTGTTTTGTTTTTTTTTTTCTTTCCTAAACAAAATACATATGCCAATAAATATTGTACTCTTTGCGTATTATTTTTATAATTGTGGAAATTGAATGCCGGGAAGAGGTATTTGGCCATGCCGCAGAATATTATGAGTCTACACAATAACTACAATTGGTTGTATTTATTACAAGGGTTTGCATTTTGTGGAGTACACACTTTTTGAAAAAAAAAAAAAAAAAATTACGACAAACGAATCTCTATAATATTGCACAGTCACTTTTCCTGCAATATAACTCTTATAAAAACCTTATTGTAAAGACATAACCACAAATTACAAATTACAGAAAAGTTGAAATTTTCAAAGGATTGTTTAATTTATGTCGCATCTTTCAAACAAGCATGCATATTATTGGCTAATTAACATAGTCGAGCCTAAATTTTCCACGAGTCTGTCTTCGTCTATGTCAGGAGCATCTTTAAAGCAAGAATTAAAAAATAAAAATAACAAACGTATTGCAGAGAGCAATTGCACCCACACAAATTTTTTAATATATCTAGTGACCCAATGACTGTGAGCATGTGAAGTCAATGACTTTGGCCAAGAACTTATATGAGAACATCTGTATACAAAATACACTTCATAAAGAACAGAGATTAGTGCAGAGACTACTACAAACAATTACTTACTTTTTCTGTCCTTAAATCTGATCACCTATTCTTGATATTATGGCGGGTGCTCTAGTGGGTGGAGCTTTTCTCTCTGGTTTTATCAATGTTGTTTTCGACAGGCTCTCTTCCCCTGAGGTTGCTAACTTCATCCGAGGCAAGAAGCTTGACAGCAAGTTGATTCAAAGATTGGAGACCACCCTTTATGCGGTTCAGGCTGTGCTTAATGATGCTGAGCATAAACAATTCTATGATCCCGCTGTGAAGAAGTGGCTCGATGATCTCAAAGATGCTGTTTATGTGGCAGATGATTTGTTGGACCAAATTTCTACTGAAGCTGTCACTCAGAAGGAGGTGAGTAACTTTCTGTCTCGATTTCTCAATTTGAGAGATAGGAAAGTGGTAAGTGAGATTGAAGACATCACTAGCAGGCTAGAAAGTATCGTGAAATACAAAGATATTCTTGGCCTGAAAGAGATTCCCGGAGAGAACATGTCATGGAGAACTCCATCTACGTCTCTAGTAAAAGGGAATATATATGGCAGGGACAATGACCAAGATGCCATAATCAAAATATTAAATGACAATAGTGAAGAGAATTTATCTGTGATCCCTATTGTGGGCATGGGTGGCGTTGGAAAAACCACTTTAGCCCAATGGGTGTTCAATGATGAAAATTTGATGAAGGGGTTTGATTTAAAAGCATGGGTTTGTGTGTCTGAAGAATCTGATATTCTCAACATTACAAGGACTGTAATAGAAGAACTTACTCATGGTACTTGTAATGTGAAGAATTTCAATATACTTCAACTTGATTTGAAGGAAAAGCTGGCAAGAAAGAAATTCTTTATTGTTCTGGACGATGTTTGGAATATTGATCATCATGGTTGGGATAGTCTCAAAGCGCCTTTTCAATGTGGAATAACGGGAAGTAAAATCCTTGTAACAACACGTAGCGAGAAGGTTGCTTCAGTAGTCCAAACTCGTCCACCTTACAGTCTGCACGAGTTGTCTGATGAACATTGTTGGTCAGTGTTTGCAAAGAAGGCACATTTTCCAGAATCTAATGGTGATTCAACTCTAGAAAAAATTGGCAGAGAGATTGTTAAGAGGTGTAAGGGTTTACCTTTAGCTGCAGAAACCCTTGGTGGGCTCTTACAAACAAGACATGATATCAAGAACTGGAATTCTATATTGACAAGTGAGATTTGGGAATTTCCTACACAAGATAGTAAAATTATTCCAGCATTGAGAATAAGTTATTACCATCTGCCTCCACATTTAAAATGTTGTTTTGCTTATTGTTCATTGTATCCCAAGGATTATAGATTTGATAAAGATGCATTAATCTTATTATGGATGGCAGAAGATCTTTTACGGAGACCAAAGACAGGAGAGACACTAGAAGAAGTTGGTTCGGAGTGTTTTGATGATTTAGCTTCCAGGTCATTTTTCAAACTAATTGAACAGTATTTCGTGATGCACGACCTGATTCATGACTTAGCAATATCGGTTGCAGGGGACTTCTATTTTAGATCAGAAGAACTTGGGAAAGCAGACAATGTTAAAATTCAGACTCGTCATTTGTCATATGGAAGGCTGAGTCATCCTTTCCCAAAAAATTTTGTTGCCATTGATAAACTAAAATCTTTGAGGACTTTTCTGCCAATCAATTTCTCAACTCCTTCATTCAGCTATGAAAGTGCAGCATTCATCATATTATCAATGTTTAAGTATCTAAGAGTTTTGTCATTTTCTCAATTCAGGGAACTTGATGCATTGCCTGATTCTATAGGTGAATTGATCCATCTGCGTTACTTGGATCTCTCTTATACAGGTATCAAAACATTGCCAGGATCATTGAGTAACTTGCACAACCTACAGACATTGAAGCTGCGTCATTGTCCTCAGTTGATTATGCTGCCAAGTGACATGCAAAATCTTGTGAACTTGCGACATCTTGATATTAGAGGTACTGTTTTGAAAGACATGCCTCGAGGAATGAGCAAATTGAAACATTTGCAGCTCTTGAGTGATTTTGTTGTGGGGGAGCATGAAGAGAATGGGATAAAGGAATTGGGAGAACTTTCAAATCTTCATGGATCACTATGGATTAGCAAATTGGAGAATGTTACCAGTATTGGTGAAGCAAGGGAAGCAAGGATAATGGATAAGACCCACATTGAAAATTTGATCTTGGAGTGGTCTTCTGATGGTGATATGGTTACAATGTCAACGCACATCGAAAGAGAAATATTTGACAAGTTACAACCTCACAAAAACTTGAAAGTGCTCACGATTAAGAGGTACAGGGGTACCAGATTTCCAGATTGGGTAGGACATTCTTCCTACCACAATATGACTCATGTGAGACTTGAGTCTTGTAGCAATTGTTATATGCTCCCTTCGCTTGGACAATTACCCTCCCTGAAATCCTTGGTGATTGAAGATTTTAATGGGCTGGAAATTATTGGTGGCGAGTTTTACAAGAATGATAATGATGAATCTTGTTCAGCAACACCCTTTCCATCCTTGGAGACTCTTTCATTTTATAGAATGTCTAGTTGGGAGGTGTGGCGCTCACATGAGTGTAATGCTTTTCCTCAACTTAAAGAGCTTAGAATAAGTGATTGTAGCAGCTTCAGGGGAGATTTCCCTACTCACCTTCCTGCTTTGGAAACACTTGAGATTTATCGTTGCAATCAGCTTGTTTCTTCTCTCCCAAGGTCTCCAGCAATTTGCGAATTAACGATACATGAAAGCAATAAAGTAGGGTTGCAAGAGTTGCCGATTTCGCTACGATCCCTATCAATCACAGGATGCGAGTTGGTGGAGTCCGTGTTTGGAGCCATGGCCATCACCCAGCCAACTTGTCTTCATTCTTTGAGGATCTCAGATTGTCCATCTGCCTTATCATTTCTGGGGGATATTTTACCACAATGTTTGAAAGAACTATTCATCCGAAATTGTGAAAAGGTAGAATTACCAACGCAACACGAGTTACTTGAGACATTGATAATAGAAAACAGCTGTGATTCAGTTGTATGCTTCTCATTGGAGACCTTTCCTAATCTCAAGTTGCTGGAAATCAAAAAATTTGAAATTATGGAATCTCTTTCAGTGTCACAGTCACAGGTTAATGCTCTTAGCTTTCTCTACATTGATCAATGCCCCAATCTTGTATCTTTTCCCACAGAAGGATTTGCTGCGCCCAACATGACATCTTTCGGGCTAGGCCATTGCAACAAGTTGAAGTCGTTGCCTTGTCACATGAATACTCTTTTCCCAAAGTTAGAATATCTGAGAATAAGTAATTGCCCAGAAATTGATTCGTTTCCACAAGGGGGTCTGCCGCCTAACTTGACAAGCCTTGAGATCTGGGATTGCGAGAAATTATTGAGCGGCCTATCATCTATGGGCATGCATCAGGGTCTCACTCATCTAGACATTGCATGTGAGAGTGTAAAGTCATTCCCGAAGGAGGGTTTGATGCCTCAGCTTCCCTCCCTTAACACTCTGTGGCTGTATAAATTTGAAAATATGGAGACGTTGAACTGCAAGGGGCTTCTCCACCTTACCTCTCTCCAAACATTAACAATTGAAGATTGTCCCAAGCTGCAGAATATGGCGGGAGAAAGGCTGCCTCCCTCTCTCATCAAACTCGAAATCTTTGCAAGTCCTTTGCTGGAAGAACGGTGCAATACAAAGCACCCGCTAATTTGGCCCATAATTTCCCACATCCTAGGCATTCGAGTTGATGGCAAATGGGTTTCGTGATGTGCGATTCTCAACAGGTAATTCTGATGCACATGTCCTCCCGTCATGATACCTCAATTTCATTCACCTCTTCAATATGATTCATGTCGATCGTTGCTTTACATTTCTAATGGATTTGTCTTTTTGTTTTCTCTCTCTATATTTCATTAAGAAATACATTCGCCAACTTCAACAGAATCTGTTCATCCGGGTTTAATAAAGCAAGACTGCATCAAGCTTTGTTGCTTCAACAAAATCTATTTCAAAAAAAAAAAAAAAAAAAAAAAAATTATAAATGCGGTGCTAATAACATTTATGTATGAAGGGAGGGTCTTATCTGTCCCGTCAAGGCTCAAGAAGGTAATTCGCACTCTATCTGTTCCACATATTATGACTCATTTGCTTTTCCAACAAGTTTAAGATTCTTATGTTCTAATAAAGAACATCACATATTTCTACGTAATTCTATTTAATAGATTAATATATCAGATCAAGAGTGTTATTTTGAATACTGGCCCTATCTTTTTTGAATTGAAAAGAAAAAGTAAGGACATATGTGAAAAGAGTAAAGAATTTACTTCTTGTCTTCCAAAATGAGAAACACATTTTTAGACTTCCCAAAGCGAAAATCGAGCCTTAAAAATTGGGACAGAGGGAACATTCTACATTTCCACTCCTTTAACATGGTGAAACAGGATTTGAATCTATATCTTGACATTCTCTATCTCATACATGTGTCACCGATGACCTTTTGGTCTGCTTCTACCCCTCCGTTACAAAATAGGAATGATTGGATTTGTCAGAGTCACTGATTTTAGACATGTTTGCTAATAATAGTCTGCAATCCACCAATCCAAAGAATGAAAGCACCGATGACTTTTTGTGATGTTCTAATATTTGTCATATCTTTTGTTGTAGAGTTGAATGATTCATCAAGAAGGAATCGGCATCAGAAGTACAAGCTTAAAAAATAAAAGGCTCAAATTATTATTCTGTAAGTTCCATTATGTGGGTTGAAATCTGCATTTATTTGGTACTCATCAGAGAAAATTTAATTGTGCAACGTATAGAAAGTTCTTCTAGAATAATTGATTATTTGTTTCTATTTTTTTTTGCTAAAAATGATTTCAATTTCTCTAGTTATAAAACCTTTACAATTTATACTTTATAGCTTGAGCATGTGATTGTATGGTGTGATGTTTTTACTTTAGACTCTGGCTGATGAGATAAGGTGTTCCTTCTAAGCCTAATTTGCGTATTCCTATTTGAATATTTGATAACATATTGTGCTCTTAATGATTATTTGTGGACATTATAATATACTTTGATTTGATATTGGTATTGTCTGTCCTTATTTCAGCTATAGTAACTTTTGGGATTTCTATATTCAACAAGCAGCTGATTTGTAACTGAACAGTGCACAGAAGTAACTACAAACTGGATGGATCCAGAGATATTGTTTTATTGTACATTACTCTGATGTCTTGTAGCGGTTCTTATGGATACAGTTTTTCCAAGGGAGCCGAAGTGATACCAGCTACGGTCAAGAATTTCGTTTTGATATATGCTGTTTGAGTTGCAGTGTCAAAAAAAATGTGTGCAGTGAAGCCTCTTTGGTGGGCTTGTGAACAAGTAAGCACCAACTGAAAATTTTGTTGTATCTTTTTACAGTTTGTCCTGCAGATCACTTGTGCAATGTGCGCTATTAGCATGTATTAACCTTAATTAGATGATCTAATTGGTACTAGGTCCCAATTTTCATTACAATATAATGTTGTTGGTAATTTTTATTTTTATTTTTGGGCTAATTTTTAAGACATTGAAGATGAGATGGTAAAGTTAGGTTCTGGGGGTATCCTAAAATCTTCCTGGGAGCTAGAAAGGATGGCAAAGATGCTGAATATGTTCCTCAATTTATTAAATTGTTTATATCGTCATGTATTTATTTTCGGTCATTTTTCGTGCAAATGACATTCCAACAACAGAAACATTGTCTAGTTAATGGTGTTTTGTTTTTTTAACTATACAGACTACGAATATAGCTAATGGTTTTTATCTTCTTGTACGCAGTTTCTCCTGATGGGCAAAGCATTGGACTCCAACGGGACATTTGGTACAAGATTTTTTTCAGGATTCTTGATAAACTGAATTTTTTTTAAATTTTAAATTTTCAGATATTATCGTAATTTAATGTTGGGCCGGTTCCCTCACGAGAAGGAAACCCATTGGAATTATGAGCCTAAATTCAAATTATAATGGAAGGCATTTTGGTCTTTTTGCAGGGGTAATTTGTCGTTAGTTGTGTATTTTATCATTGCATTTTCACTACTTTGTACAATTTGTATTTAAATTCTTAATTGTTACTGTATCTATCTGTGGTGCCTATAGTTGCAGGGAATTTTTTGTATTTATTGATAGTGGAGATGAATTATATTCCGTGCTTTTACTTTTCATATTCAAGGGTTTTTCATGTAAAAATTGGTCTGTGTTATTATTAACATTTATATTAACATTTGATTGCTCTTAATATTAATATTTATATTTTGTGATGGTATTTTGATCTTCTTGATTTTAGTATCGTAGACGTATAGAATTTACTTATTTGGGGAAAAAGTCAAGTTGTGTTTGAAAGGAAAGAGAAAGAATTTCAAGAATAATTGATTTTATTTTTTTCACATCATTTACACATTTTGTGTAGACACATTATTCTAGTTACAAAATAGATATTTATCAGCGTAATTAGGAATTCTACCAATCTTATAATTTGCCTAAAATAATAAGTCAATCCTATAATATCTTTACAGTAACTATTCTATCTATAAAATTCTCTACTTAAATATGGCATACAATAAAAAAGATAACATCATATCAAATCTTCGAGAATCTCAACACTTTCCTTTAATCTTCATGAAGAAATCACTCATGGCTAGTTCCCTCAATATAATCTGTGTTGAGGGAACGGATCTGCAATTTTTCTATAACTAAGTTTATAGAATATGTGCACTATATACTTATTGCTTGCACATCGATAATAATTTTTTTGAGAATTAAGATAAAGAGATAAAGCATAAACTAAAGATTAATTACATAATAACATAAGTAAGAGCTATATGGAAAATGAGGCCATCAGAGGTTAATCCTATAAGATTGCAAAAAATATAAGTAAAATAGTAGCTAAGTATATAAGCTGCAACTACATCAAAATAATGATCACTACAAGTTAGATTCGACACACACACACTCAATTGATGATGTCAAGATGATGATCTTGTAAAAAAAAAAATCCATTCAACTGCTGGATGGTCATCCAAACAAATGAATGAAAACTTTACCGTGATCCTCGTAAAAGACCATGAAAATAGCCACTCATTTCCGAAAAATGCAACCCAGGCCATCTTACCGAGTTCTTTTTCTCTTCCAAATATTAGCTTTTAAAAAAAGCAAAAATCAATAAAAAAGTCAAAATTTTACTTTTTTAAAAAAACTAAAATTTTTGGCTTTTGAAAATAGGAGAAGTCAAAAGCAAGTCAAGTATCCTCCTGATTTTACCTATCACTTCCTTCGACATCTCTCAGTTTTGTTTTAAATATTCTCCCTTGTTTCCATCTTCTTCTCAAGTTCAGTGCACTTCTCACTCTACTGTGGGCTTCTATGCTTTGAAAGTACTCTCCCTGATATTCTACATTGCATTGGTCATCTTGTTGGGTATGGCTCCATAGAGGCTTGGTACTATTGTGGACTTATGATTTATTGTAATTTTTTTTCTTAGTAATTTGGGCTTGGACCCATGAATAGCTGTTGTTAGGGTTTTCTAAATCCTATTTATATTCCGTTGTAAACTGAGTGACTCGTAACTTGTAACAAGTGGTAGTAAGGAGACTGTAGTACAGACAAGCTGGACGTAACCTATATTGGGTGAACTAGGGTAAATTATTGTGTCAATTTCTCTCTTTCTTTTCTCTTTTTGTTTTTAGATTCATGTGTGTCGATTTCAGATACATCTTAGGGTTTTTATCGCCTTCTGTCTTTCTCGACCATTTCGCTTCAATCCACTCTTGAAGTTATTCGTTTTTTCAAATTTTTTGCAATGGTTATTTTTTTTTTTTTTTTTGGTATGCTATTTTTTGTTTTTAATTTCTAATGTTCAAGACAAATTTCTAATTATATATTGTTGAAAAGCTTATTTGGGTTTTGTTTTCCCTTTGTTTCTTTTTGTGTTTTAATGATTATTGATATGATTTTTATTATTTTATCAAAAAAATAAACACTATTATCGTCTCAGAAAATTCCAGAAACATGGATACGAGACATGTTGGCAGAGTTGTTTCTACATGTTTGTTTCATAGTTGAAATTTATGGTAATGGTCTTTTTGCTCTTCCTCTTGATGTTTATAAGGAGCAAAACATAGAAGGAATAAAGGTGTTCAGTTTGATTAATTGATGACTTTGTTGCTTACTGTAGAAAAGAAGTTGCGAATTTAAAGTATTGTTTTTATTAGATAAGAATAGGCTAGTCTAAATGTGATCTGATTGTTAGTAAATATTGTTTTATTAGATAAGAATAGGATCTGATTGTTAGTATTTTGTAGATAGTTGCCTATTCTTATGATATGGTTGTTATACCATCTTGTATATAAACTATTCAAGAGGAGGAAATAAAATAAGAAGAATGTTTATTCTGTATATGATGTTTCCTTTTTAACATGGTATCAGGTGTTTCAATCCTTGGGACACGTTGTTTTTTTCCTTCTCCTTTGTTTTTTTCCTTGCCTGACGTGTTCCATTTTCCTCCTTTCATTTTTTCTTTTCCCTGACCACACCGTACCTACTCTTCCCTTGTTCCTCAGAAATATCACAATTTCTCACCAACTGCATCACTGAAATCATCATCCCTCCCACCCAAACCGAAATCACCATTTTTTTTACCCTTTTCCCACGAACCGAATAAAAAAAATTTGAACTTTCCCACAAACTGAATCACCAAAATTTTTCCAAACCAGAATCACCATTTTTTTACCACCCTCCTTTTCCCTCAACCTGAATCACCGAAACTTCCTTCTCTGTTTCCATGGTTGAATCCCCACAAACCGAATCACCGGTATACTCGTCCACCATCCCTTCCTCATCATCATATGTTATGTATGAAGGCATCCTAGGTAACTCTCTTGCTCTTTCTACTCACTTTCGGAATTCATCTTGGATTATTGATACTGGAGCGTCTGATCACATGATACGTGATGCATCTTCCTTACTGAAATGTGGCCCTTGCAATTAGAAGAATATTACCACTGCTAATGGTGGGTCTGCCTATGTTACGGGTCAGGGAAGTATTGTTTTATCCCCTACACTCACCCTTACCTCTGTTCTTGTGGTGCTTACCCTTGATTTCAATTTGCTTTCTGTTAGTAGACTCACATCTGACCTCAATTGTACTGTTATATTTTGGCCCACTTTTTGTATTTTTCAGGACGTCCAGAACCAAATGATTCTCGGCTACGGTGTTAGGCATGGCAACCTCTACTTTCTTGAACTCTCGGATTGTGACCCTGGTGTACCTGGCAGAGCATCCACTACTACTACTCCAGCATCTCATTCGTCTATTTGGCTCTGGCATAGAAGACTCGGACACCTCTCTTTTGGTTATCTTCATAAATTACTTCCACATTTATTTTCGAATTGTAGTTTCTCTAATTTTCATTGCTCTACTTGTGAAATGGCTAAAAGCCATCGTATTCCCTTTTATCCCAGTATGAATAAAAGTACCATTCCATTTCAAGTTGTCCATTCTGATGGCGGGTCCCCTATTTTTCTCATTCGTACTATTATGTATCTTTCATTGATGAATGTACTCGCATGGTGTGGATCTTTCTGCTTAAAAATAAAAATAAAGTGTTGAATGCTTTTAAGAGATTTCACAGTATGGTCAACACCTAGTTTAAAAGTTCAATCCAAATCCTTCAATCAGATAATGGATTAGAGTACAAAATTGGACCTTTTTCTGAATTCTTATCCTCTACTGGCATAAAACATCAGACCTCTTGTACCTAAACATCTCAACAAAATGGATTGGCTGAGAGAAAAAATAGACAATTATTGGAAATAGTAAGAGCCTCTTTATTTGATATGCATGTCCCATCTTCCTACTGGGGTGAAGCTCTTTTATCCGCTGTTTACTTAATTAATCGCACTCCCTCTAGTGCCCTTAATTTTCTCACCCCACACTAGAAGCTTGAAACTTTCTTCTCTATCCCTCACAAAATGAATTTGGATCCTAGAGTCTTCGGTTGTACCACCTATGTCCATATTCTCAAACCTCTCAGAAATAAACTGGAACCTTGTGCTAGGAAATGCATTTTTGTAGGCTATTTTGATCTTCAAAAAGGGTACAGATGCTATGATCCAAAAACTCACAAAATGTATGTAACGCTTGAAGTTTCCTTTAGAGAATCCAAATCTTTTTACTTAGGGGGAGTCACCTCTCCTTCTTCTCAGGGAAAGATTAAGTATACTGGAGAAGAAGATCTCTGGTTGACCACTTCTACAAATCCTAATCCAACATCTCCCACAAATTCGAGTTTCCCTTCTGAAGCTGCTCAATTGAATGAAACTTCTCCTCCACTGAATGAAGCAGCCGGTCATTTGAATGAAAGTTCTCCTCCAAATGAAGCTCACAAAACATGCCTAACATAGCTGAATCACTTGATGAGGACAGTCTTGAAATACATCATCAGTCTACTAATGAGGTAAATTATGTCCTACATTTAAATTCTCCAATACCTGCTCCACAAACCAGAAAAACCGAAAGGCCCAATAAAGGTATACCAAGAGCAACATATGAACCAGATCCGAAAACAAAAGTGAAATACCCCATTAGTAGTTATGTATCATCTCACCGATTATCTGGATCATATGCTCTAACAGTTGATCAATTATCCACTGTATGTATTCCTAATAGTGTGCAGGAAGCGTTAGAAAATCCTAAATGGAAGCAAGCAAAGAACATTGAAATGGAGGCTCTCCAAAAGAATGAGACTTGGCAATTAACTTCATTACCAAATGGCAAGAAGACAATCGAATGCAAATAGGTTTACACTGTAAAGCTTATGGCTGATGAAAGCATTGACAGATACAAAGCAAGACACGTAGCTAAAGGATACACACAAAAATATGGTGTTGACTATCAAGATACATTTGCTCCAGTGGCTAAACTCAACACAATTCGAATTCTGACGTTAGCAGCTAACCGAGATTGGCCTTTGAAGCAATTTGACGTTAAGAATGCCTTCTTGAATGGAGATTTAGAAGAAGAAGTCTACATGGAGGTCCCACCAGGAATAAAGCTAGCACCGAAAAAAGAAAATGTGGTTTGCAAACTAAACAAGGCCTTGTATGGTCTTAAACAATCACCCAGAGCGTGGTTCGAAAAATTCACAATGGCAATGAAGAAATTTGGGTA